TATAAGATAGGATGAATGTAAAACTAATGTTCTCCCATGTAAACTATCACATAATTCACAATAAAACATTAAAAAAACAACAATTCTACTTTGAAGATTACTTATAGAATTATATACTAATTGTACCTAACAGTAAACCCAAATAATTGTCTTTAATTGATTGGTATAATTGTCTGTGTTACAAAAACAGAAGTCAGTCCTACATCCAATGCAAAAGTCAGGAGAGGGTTGACAAGCTTTTTGAGAATATATCTAATCCATTAGGTGGCAGAAATCCTTTATATAAGGAAATTAATCAGTGTTCTGGCAATTTTTGTAGGACAACTTAAAATTAGTAAACTTTTCCTCTTTTTTGCTGTCTAGGTACAGGTCAGGGGTATTTGTTCTCTTAAATGCCATGAACATCTTTTTAAAACTATTTGCTGTCTCTTGGAATATTTGTAGTGCTAGTTCTAGTTCATGTCTGTTTGTCAGTGTGAATTTGGCTCCTCAAGATGCAACCTCTGCCTCCGTATGGATTATTTTCAGGATTTCATGAAAGTAACTAGAGCGATAACCCTCATTCTGTTATTCTCGTGTATGAATGATTTCTTTAACCATTCTCATAATTTGAGCTGTGGTCTTGTTTATGAGATCTTTTTCAAAATCTTCCACAGATTCATATACTTGAAATTTTGGAGAGTTGATAACATGTTTAGAATAACTAATAGAAAATGCTTTATTTCTATCATGGTGCCAAATTTTGTTTACGATATTGGGCTGATGCTTAATATGTTCCAGAAGAATGTTCTCTAGCTCAGTGTCAATATCAGATTCCTCAGCAGGGAGTGTAGGGGACAAGAGAATAGAGACATTCTCTGACCAGGTCTTGTTGAACATCTGTCTTAGTTCCTTATCATGTAATTCTTTCCCATTGGAGGGCACAGTCAGACCTCTGATTTTCTTGAATAACTTTTGTTCAAATCTTAATTTTTTGTCTTTCAATTGGTCTTATGTTTTCTTTCCACAAATTAGATTCTCACGATTTTTCATGATTTCTACTATAAGCTCCTCTTTAAGATTCTTTAAACCGTTTTCAAACCTCCCTTTCCACTGAGCAAATATATCTGTCTCTATTTTCTCAAGAATACTTCTCAAATTTTTGCATAATGACTTCATGTTTTTCTGTAACTTGATTCTCAGTTGAGCGTTTCTTGAGGTCTTCAGCTTCTCCATTCTGCATTTGCTTGGTTAGTTGGTTCTGCAAGTCCAGTATATGACTTCTCAGTGTCCAGGTCCAGCTGTTGTACATAAACTCAAGTTTATTCATAGCAATGACTTCCTTGGTGTTTTTGAAGCTGAAAATGAAGTTCTCATTCACTAAGTCCTTCCACAAATCCCATATCTGGACTTTAAACTGTGTTATCTTCAAAATAATCCTGTTTTTCAGTTCTTATACATAGTGCTGTAGCTGGGATTGGGAGGGGCCATTGGGGGATAACCTTCCAAACGTTAGGTTAGTAATAGATGTAGGTCCTGAAATCAAACTTAATGACATCACTGAAGTGGGATACATCTGAGCGCTGTTCATGTTTGTCTGCAGTAACAGCAATTTTATCTAATCTCTCTTGTAGCCACTGTTGCCTTTCCCTTTTCTGATCTGTATCTACAATTTCTTCCATGTTCTAATGAACAAACAAGCATCTTGGTGAGATATTCAGTTGTTTCATTCTGAGAAAGACATGGACCGCTATTTGCAAAATATTTTGTATTTCTGATAGATCCTTCCCAAAAATATTGACTAGAGTTAGGTTTCCAAGTCCAATGACAAAAGTCGCCAACTCATTTTCTTCATTCTGTGATTTGTTGATGATCTGTGAGCCCTGAAGTCCTGTGTCCACAACAAGGAGAAAACCAAAACCTAACTGTTCCCTGAGCATTTCTTCACCTTCAGGATTGCATGGAGGCCCCACAGGTATACCTCCTATCACTGAAACTGAACTGCAGTGCAAACATTGCATTCAGTAGAGCAGACTTTCCTGAGTTCTGCAGGCCAAGGACAGAAAGCGCAAACACCCGTTTGTCTCCACGTTTTTCAGAGACCTTGTCTGAAATAGCAGTTACCCATTTCAGGGAAATATAAGAAGCATCTCCATCTATCAGTTCAACAAGAACCCCAGATATCATTAAGTCAGCTGCCATTTAAAGAAGGGACAGAAATCGTATATCTATTTGGAAAGAAGCTTCATCTTGAGCTTCACAGATCTGGTCAACCTCTCTCAGGATGTAAAGGTAGAAGTTTTGTAACAAAAACAGGGGAGTAGTTAATCTTACAGTCCAGAAACAGGATCCTAGGACCATAAAGGGAGAAGAGCACAAGCAGAATGCGAGACCTTATCCAGAGAAGCAGCAGCGCCAGAGATGGAGGCAGAGATGTGGACATGGAGAAGGGGAGCAGCTGAGAACTCTATATTCATGGGAAGAGAGGGACTAAGAGCTAGTGGCTAGGAGGCCGACTTGCAGAATGTGCTCTTTGATAGTGTAAATTATTATGTATGCCTGAGTGGTGTTGTTGTTTTTATAAATGTTTTATTGTGAATTATATGATAGTTTACAAGAGAGAACTTTAGTTTTACATTCATGCCATCGTATATCATTTCATTGCCATGGTTCCAATCCCCTCCATGCATCATCTTCCCACCCAGCCGCTTCATCACTCCAAGTCATCGTCTCTGTCTCCATCTCAGGCATCCCTGCTTCTCTGGGTAGGGTCCCGCTTTCAGCTCTTCTCCGTTGATGGTCCCAGAGACCTGCGCTCCTAGACTGGAGAAATAATCACTCCCTTCCTTGCTACAAAACGTCTACCTTTGCATTTCCAACCCTCACAATCTGTCTTGATAACCATTATTCACTACAGTATCGCGAGTAACCCATCTGTATTTAATTTCATCAGCTCCACCTAGACAGATTGGATGGTACTCACTGGTGATTCTGCCTTCCTCCATGCCCCCTAGCTTTAGGTTCCCTCTTGAAAGCTTGTAAGCCAGTCAATTCTTGCCTTTGTAGTCCCCCTCTCCCCATTTGGGTATCCAATGTCCAAGTTGCCCATCTTTGTGTACTCTGTGTGTGGAGGGGGTGGGAATGTTTCTTGCTGTAAGGATTTGTTGCCTCTTTTGAGTCACTGCATTCGTAGATATAGGTCAAGTTCATCAGATTGAATCAGCTCAATCTCAACCCCCCCCCCCTTTCTGAGTTTTTTTTTTTAAAAAGAAGAGCTAAAGTGAATAGAGAGAAATACTGTTAAGTGATGGTACATGGAGGGGATTATAATCATTGTAATGAAACAAGATGTGTGATTTGATGAATGTAAAACTGATGATCTGCCCTGTAAACTTTCACTTAATCCACAATAAAAACCTTAAAAAAAAAAAAAAAGAAGAAGAATACAACCCCGGCACACACTTTTCCTAATTTAAACCAATCCGTGCCCCTTTGGAATGCATACAGGTTCCTCATAAGCACAATTAAGTGTTCCGGAATACTCATTCTTCGCAATGCTGTCCATAGCTTGTTATGATCAATCAAACGTTTACATAATCAGTAAAGCACAGGTAACATCTTTCTGGTATTCTCTGCTTTCAGCCAAGATCTGTCTTATGTCAGCAATAATATCCCTTGTTCCATGTCCCTGTCTGAAGTCAGCAGGAACTCCCTGTCAAATGTGTTGCTGCAACTGTCTTTTAATAAACTTCAGCAAAATTTTACTTGCATGCAATATTAATGATATTGTCCAATGAATGTCACATTCTATTGGGTCACAGATATGGATCGCTTCCAATCAGTAGGCTAGTTAGCTGTCTTCTAGATTTCTTGGCGTAGATGAGTAAGTGCCTCCAGTACTACCTCAGTATGTTGAAAGATTTAAATTTGTATTCCATCAATTCATGGAGCCTCGTTCTTTGCCAATGCCTTCAGTGTACCTTGGACTTCTTCCTTCAGGATAATTGGCTTTTTTTTTTTTTTTTTTTTTTTTATCATATGTTGCCTCTTTACGTGGTTAAACATTGGCCATTTATTTTTGGTACAGTGACTCTCTATATTCCATCCATTTTCTTTTGATGCTTTCTGCATCATTCAATATTTTGCCATGAAATCCCTTAGTTTGAGCATTGAATTTTTTCTTCAGTTCCCTCAGCTTGAGAAATGCTGAGTATGTTCTTCCATTTTGGTTTTCTAACTCCAGGTCTTTGCACATTTTGTCATATTATTTGACTTTGTCTTCTCAAGCTGACCTTTGAAATTGTCTGTTCAATTCTTTTGCTTCCTCACTTCTGTTTGCTTTAGCATCTCAACACTGGAGAGCAAGGTTCAGAGTCTTCCTGACATCCATTTTAGTCTTTTCCTTCTTTCTTAATGACATTGTGCTTTCTTCCTATATGATGTTCTTGATGTTATCCCACAACTCCTCTGGTCTCTGATTATTAGTGTCTAATGCATAAAATTCGTTCTTGAAATGGTCTCTAAATTCAGGTGGGATATGTTCAAGGTCATATTTTGTCTCTCGTGGACTTGTTTTAATTTCCTTCAGCTTCAACCTAAACTTGCATATGAGCAATTGATGGTCTGTTCCACAGACCATCTGCCCTTGACCTTCTTTTGGCTGATGATATGGAGCTTTTTCACCATCTCTTTCCACAGATGTAGTCAATTTGATTTCTGTGTATTCCATCTGGTGAGGTCCATGTGTATAGTCAACTTTTATGTGGTTTAAGAAAGGTAAGGTATTTATACTAAAGAAATAATTGGTCTTGCAAAATTCCATCATGCAATCTCCAGCATTATTTCTATCACCAAGACCATAGTTTCTAACCACTTTACCACATGCATAATAAATGTCTCCCTTCTGCTGTGGCCCTAATCCTAGCATTCACATTGATTGGTTCTACCTGGGAGTTGATCCGTGCTGTTGATGGACTATTGGTTGTTCATTCATGGCCTCTGAAGTTTCTTTGTTCCCACAGGCAATCTTGCTGCCAATGATCTTTCCACTTCCCGAACAAGCAGATTACAGAAGATTCTTCACAGCTATGTTCCTGAAGATATTAGGGATGGGAATCAAGTTCGAGTTACCTCATGGGATGGCAGAAAGTGGGGAGAACTGGAAGGGGACACCTATGACCGGGTAAGTGATTTTTGACCTGGAGCATCAAATCTGGTCTCTTCTTCCTGACCCCAGACCCTGAGAGTTGGATCCCAGCTTCGGTATTTGACTATATAGCATTGTGCCTGGACGTGGTTAACTACCTTTGGGTGAAAATGGCCATCTGCAGATTTACTCATTCAGCTTAGTTGTGCTGTCTTCATTAGAGACTAATTAGTAATGAGTAAGCAACAAAGAGTTTGAACCTAATGGTGATGGTTAAGTTTGTGTGTCAACTTTGCTGGCCTGTGATTCTTAGTGGCCTGGCAGTTATGTAATGATGTAATCATTCTTTATGTTGTGATCTGATGTGATCAGCCAATCAGTTTTAAGAGCAGTTTCCTTAGGGGTATGGTCTACACCTAATATCTATATGCATGTTCTGTCAAACCTCTCTTGCTTGCTCTGGATCTTGCATCTGGTTCATCATTATCTGACCTCTGGTTCTTGGGATTTGTCAGCCTTGCAGCTAAGTGAGTCAGGAGAAGTCTTTATCCTTCAGCCTGACTCACAGACTTGGAACTTTCAGCCTATAAACTGCATGATCCATTTCCTTGAGCTACATCTCTGTCTCTATGTATATGCACCTACTGCCATCAAGTCAATTCCAACTTATAATGACCCTGTATAGGGTCTCTAAGGAGCCTTGAAAGCGAGCTAGGATCTCTAAGGAGCGCTGAAAGTGTAGTGGATTACGAGCTGGGCTCGTAACCTTGAGGTTAGCAGTTCAAAGCTAGTAGTGAGCAAGATGAGGCTTTCTGCTCTTGTAAAGATTTATAGCCTCAGAAACCCTAGACAGGGTTTCTATAAGTCAGAACCAATTCTATGGCACACAACCAACAATATAGGGTTTCCAAAGCTATAAAACTTATGTATACAAGAGCAGAAAGTCTTTGCTTGTCTTTCACAGAGCAGCTGGTTGGTTCGAATTGCTGACCAATTGTAATACACTGTACCACCAGTGCGCGTTATGTACACATGTTTCACTGGTTTAGCTTCTCTAGAGAATGAAGCCTAAGGCATTGATACAGTGGAAAAGAAAAGGTTATTAGGCTTATTTTATTTCCCAAGTCACTTGGTTGCTCAGAGACCCTTATGAAGATAACGTTTCAATAAGCTTAGTATATTTACTGTTGAATATTAATACATGTTATAAAAGCCAGAAGGAACAAAAGGATATAATCATAAAAAGTAAGTTTTTCCTCTTATCCTGTCTCCCAGCCACCTACTTCCATCTTTACAGCTAGCACTTGTGTATCTTTTGAGATAATACTCTTTGTATGTACAAATATAAATGTGTATATATTTTTCAAAAATAGAAATGGTAGTATATTGTACATAGTCTTCTGAACTTTGTATTTTTAAAATTTCATAATATATCCTGGGTTCAAGCTTTTTAATAACTGTAGAGTTGCTTCATTCTCTTAAACAGCTCCAAAGTATTCCATTATATGGATGGGCCATATAATGATTCAGTGGTTATCCTTGAACTAATGTAATTTCCCACAATTGTAGATATGTTTTTAGAACAAAGTCCTTTGAGTATAATTGCTAGATAACAGTTTATGTACACTTCAGATTTTGATAGAGATTGTTAAATCATATTCTGCAGAGTCTTAGTTTCATTCCTATTGGTGATGAGTAAGAGTACCATTTTCCTACAACCTGTGAACACTGGTATCAAACTTTTTGATTTTTTGCCATGTTAGGATCTAATTTACATTCTCTTATAATAAATCCTGGTGTGGCGCTGTGGGTTAATGCGTTAGACTGCTAAGTCAGTTTGAATAGCAAGGTTGTTGGTTCAAGCTCACCAGTCGCTCCTTGGAAGCCCTCTACAGGGTCGCTATGAGTCAGAACAGACTTGATGGCATTTAACAACAACAACAATAATAATGAATGATGTTGAAAGTTTTTAAATATGTTTAAGTCATTTATATTATCTTTTAATTGACATACTCTAAAAATATTTATTTAAAATATATACTTCTAAAAATTTGAAGCTCTTGTCTCTGTCTTATCAGACTTAACTAACCTATCTAGTTCTTACCATCTTGCCTCAGTCACTATTTTTTCTTGTTAGGTTTTTTTTTTTTGCGGAAATATTTATTCACATAAGTTTTCTTAATACATTTCTTTCTACACAAGGCTGAATTTAGGAGTCACTATAGAATAACATTTTAAATTATAGTAATAACACATTAATAAATTATAAATTAACAAAATCTTCATATTTGCTTTAAAAATCATTTATTAAATGCTAACCTCCAGATTATCTGGAAAATTAAAGATGCAAATTGCTATAAATCTGGCATCCCAGTTAAACTGTGCTTTCTAAAAGTATATAAAATGTCCCTTAAATTATCCCAAGTTCCACTCCAGAAAATGTTATTTTACTTTTTTCATAAGTTATTAAGTTTAGAGCCTTCTAAATATTTTACCCAAATGTGGAAAACTGCCTGGAGATGCAAAGCACATTAGGATAATTACATGAAAAGAACACACAAAAAAATACCCGTTAAAACAAAGCAATTGTAGCTGGCAGCACTTAAAATTTGTCATTTGTATTTGTCCAAAAAGTTGCATAGCTGCAAGATGATTCACTGCTGATTAACTATTGAGCCTTATTATTATTATTATTATTCAAGAGGAAACAATGTATTTAATAAACTGCAATTGAGTAGCTAATTCTAGATTTAGTTAATTAAAATGCAGTTATGTAACTTAATTTACTCTTTGGACTGCATTATGACAGTGCTAAATACCATTAACTTTAAAATACGAACACACTTCATTTTCCTATGTAGCATCTATTTTCCATTCTTGGAGGGGAAATGCAAGAATTTGAGATTATGGTCTGCATTCAGAATGTTTTACTGCTTGATTACACTTTGTAGTTTCACATTTAAGACTTTAATTTATAAAAAGCAAATTATGTGGTTTTTAATTTACAAATAGATGAATGAAAAAAAAAAATAGGGAAAATTAAAAGACCTCCAAACTAAGAAATCAAAACGCAGCGAATTGTGCAGCTCCAGAGAACTTAATAAAAAGTAAATCAACTTTTAAATCAGTTAACTTTGGCATCTGAGTATAAAATGTTCATCAGCATTAGCTATGTAGATGACTACTGAGGGGTGTGCAGCATTGTCAAGATCCCTTGTGTGTGTCCTTTATATGCATGTTTGGTACAGAGTTCTGTGGTAAATGGCCTCTTTTCAGTAGGATTTTCCCCACCCCTGTATGATTGTCCATCTCTGTATTTTGGAGTCTCACAGAACTCAGATTTTCTGGCTTAGTATGACTGCATTTTTGTATTTCCAGAGATAGCTCCTCATATCCCCTAGGTTTTTCAAGCATCTTGAAAAGACAAGAAAACCTATGAAACAGGAATCTGATGCTTAATCTGAAGGGTGCTCAGGGCAAGATCTATTTACTTCAAACCATTCATCTATGCAGCCTTTATGATATATGCATAGACAAGGCAGCCGTGCTGCAGCTCTTCCAGGCATATTGCACATTCCCCAGCATCTTTACTCAGTACATCCTCATTATAGGTTAGTCTTGGCTTCGTTAAACACATCACAAGATGCAAGTCCGTTTCATCTGAGGGTACAAATTTTGAGCATACAGGGCATTTAAATCCTCCAAACATGTGCGGCGAGAGGCCGTTCTCTGCCGCCGCTGCCGCCATCCTCCGGGCTGTTGTGCCTTCTTGTTAGTTTTTGATGATTTGATTTTATGTCCTGGTAAATTGATATTTTTATTGAATACCACCTCTGATAGTGTAGTGGTTACGAATTGGGCTGCTAACCTCAAAGTCAGCAGTTCTAAACTACCAGCTGTTCCGCGGCAGAAAGAAGAGGCTTTCTGCTCCTGTAAAACTTTACAGCCTGGGAAAACCTGTACAGGGTCACTATGAGTCGGAACTGACTCCATTGCATATGAAAATTGCATATGAAAATTGTAAAGATATTCTGATGCTCTGGATCTTCCCTGCAAAGGATTTTATTTTGCTTTTGACACAGTCAGTATCAGGACATGTCTTAATTCAATCAGAAATTGTTGTTGTTCAGTGCCAGTGAGTCAGTTCTGACTCATAGCTACCCTGTATAGTGTTTCCGAGGAGCAGCTGGTGGGTTTGAACTGCTGACCTTGTGGTTCACAGTCCAGTGCTGATCCTACAGTGCCACATCAGGAGTCCAATCAGAAATTAGCTGATTCAAATTTGAATTTTGTGAGGGCTATTCTGTTTCTAGCTTACCTCTACATCTAGGGTATTAAATTTCATGAATCCAACTTACTGTTTCCATGTGTCTTCAATTTTCCTCATTCTTCTTTGCTCCAGATGGGGAGGGACCAATAATTGCACCTTCGAAGATCCCAGTTACTACTCACCCTAGTAGGCTATAGAACATTGTCTTTGTGGACTATGTTATGCCAATTGTCCTTGGGTGTCCCCTGAGACTATTGTCCTGAGCTCCCTGGCTCAGTGATTCAATCCCTTAAGGTGTTTCATTATGTCTAAGAAGTTTTTATAACTTTGTACCCTGTGTGCTGTACTATATTTTTGGGTATATTGCCGTATACATCATTATATATGTAGCAGTATCCTCTGTCAAGCCTATCTATATTTCTGGGTGTGGACTCTTTCTCTTTCTCACACCTGCTCAGCTTGTGTTTCTGTCTATGCATTCACTCATAGATTATTGTTATTGCAGAATTGTGCATATAATAATGTTTACCTCTGTTGCCTTAAACTCTTATATTCCTCCTAGTTGTCTTCCTTTGTTGTCATCATTTTTTGCTAGTGCCGCTCTTATTGTAGATTTAACATGTGGTGTGGCATTTTAGCATAAGCTGTGGGTTGCTAACTGCAAGATCACTGGTTCAAACTCACTAGCTGCTCCTTGGAAACTCTATACCAGGTACACTATGAGTCAGAACCAACTCAATATCCTTAACTACAACAACAATAAACCTTCAAATTAGTAATTTACTCTCCCTCTCAAGTAGATTTAAGAAAAATATTTTGTCACATATTTCTAGTTGTTCTCAGCAGGAGGGTTGGTCTGCAACAAGCTATTCTGCCTTTATCTTTGTTGTTGTTAAATGCCATTGAGTCAATTCCAACTCATAGCGATCCTGTATAGGGTTTCTAAGGAGTGACTGGTGAATTTGAACCACTGACCTTGTGGTTCAAACAGACCTTGCAGTCTACTGATTTATCCCACAGTGGCACACCAAGACTCCTCTGCCTTTGTTAGAAATAGAAAAATCTGATTTCATATATTGTCAACTTTTGATCATACCTAATCAGTCATAGGAACCCTGGTGTGACGCTGTAGGATAAGCATTGAACTGCTAACTGCAAAGTTGGCAGTTCAAACCCACTAGCTGCCCTGTGGAAGAAAGAGGAGGCTTTCTGCTTCCATAAAGATTTATAGCCTTGGAAACACTATACGGGATTGCTATGAGTCAGAATTGACTCAATGACGGTGAGTTCAGTTTGAGTTAGTCGTAACTAGACCAGTAAGCAACAGCATGATAAATGAAGAAAAGATTGAAGCTGTTAAGGATTTAATTTTACTTGGATCCACAATCAGTGCTCATGGCAGCAGCATTCAAGACATCAAATAATGTAATACATTGGGCAAATGTGCTGCAAAAGACCTCTGTAAAGTATTAAAGAGCAAAAATGTCACTTTGAGGATTATAGTGTGCTTAACTCAAGCCATAGTATTTTGTTTTTTAAAAAACTTTTTGTTGTGAATTGAGTGAAGATTTATAGACAAGATCATGAGTTTTATATTCAACAAATCACACCCTTAGTTTCATCTTAGTGGTCACAAACCCCTCCATGCAAAATAGTTATCCCATTTCCTCCCTGTGGTTTCTGTTTCCATTCCACCCACCTTCCCATCCCTTCTCACCTCTGTCTTGGGTAAATGCTGCGCTTTTGATTTTGAACAATTGACCATTCCATGGTGAGCATACCTTAATAGTGTTGTTGTTCCCCCTATAACTATTTACTGTTTGGCTGAAAATTGGACCATAAGGGTTAGTTCCTTTCCAGACCTGAAGGGTGGTCTAGGGCCATAGTCTCAAGTTCTTACAGTCTCTTTCTGACCAGTAAGCCCGGTCTTCTTTTTATCATTTGAGTTTGTTCCACATTTTCTGCCACTCTATCCAGGACCTTCTAATATGATCCTTTTCAGAGCAGTTGGTAGTGGTTGCCGGGTACCATCTAGTTCTGGTCTCACCATCATAGAGACTGATGTTCACATATTAAACCATGGCATTTTTAATCACTTCATATGTGTGTGAAAGCTGGACAATGAGTAAGGAAGACTGGAGAAGAGTTGATACATTTGAATTTTGATATTGGTAAAGAATAGTGAGTATACCATAGATTACCCAAAGAACAAATAAATCTGTCTTGGAAGAGGTATAGCCAGAATGCTCCTTAGAAAGGAATATGGTAAGGGTTTGTCTCTATGCTTTGGATTTATCAGGAGGGACCAGGCCTTGGAGAAGAACATTGTGCTTGGTAAAGTTGAGATTCAGTGAAAAAGAAGACCCTCAGTGAGATGAATTGACACAGTGGTTGCATTAGTGGGTTCAAACAGTGTAATGATTGTGAAGATGGTGCAGGACCGTACAGTGTTTTGTTCTATTGTACATGGGGTTGCTATGAGTTGGAACCTAAGAGTCCTAGTTTGAGGATTGATGTGTATTCTCCCAGAAAGTAATGTGCATTCAAACAGAATGTGAGACCTTATCCATTGAAGCAGCAGCACCACAAATGAAGGCAGAGATTGGAACATGGAGAGAGGGAGCAGCTGAGGATTCTAGATTTATGGAAAGAGAGAGATTGAGAGCTGGTGGCCAGATGGTAGACTTTCAGAATGTACCCTTTGCTGGTGTAAATTATTATATATGCCTGAGTGTTGTTTAAAAAAAACTAAAATGAGTAGAGAGAAATACTGTTAACTGATGGTACATGGAGGGGATTATAATCATTGTAATGAAACAAAATGTATGATTTGCTGAATGTAAAACAGATGATCTGCCCTGTAAATATTCACTCAATTTGCAATAAAAACTTAAAAAAAAAAAAAAAAGTAATATGCATTTGTTTCTGCCAGTGGTGGGCACATCTATCAACCTCAGACTATATTACTCAATATGGGATTTTCTGGATCATGCAGGTGGTATGACATTGAACTCCATACATAGGTGGTACAAATTCTCAGGGAAAACTTTTTGCCCAGAGTTTAAGCCAAAAATGGATAAGTTCTTTTTTCATCTTATGCAGGTTGATTTTTTTTTTTTTTTCCTTGTTTACTGTTTGATTGAGCATGCAGCCCTTTGAGGATTTTTATTTTGTTATGAGTTTTCATTCTAATTCCTAACCTTGAATTGGTCTATGGCCCTGTTTCCTATCTCCTTGGGATAGGCATCAACTCCTACATGCTTCCCTAGATTTGTGCTACTGCCTTTTTTCTTTGACTTCTGAAGATTTTTCTGATTTTCTGTGAGCTATGCATTTTAAAGTATTTAAAAAAAACATTTTATCCAGCCTTTTTAGATAAGATAATTTTACACTACAAGGGTTTTTAGGATATCTAGTTCACCACATTGCTGGAAACAAAAGATACCCATTTCTTCTAGGATGTGGTTTCTAGTATATTCCAATGGCTTTTCCTTGGGCATCTTTATTTAGTTAATGTCTTTTTTCACTTGGAGACCAGCCCTGTTTCAGTTCTTGAGATTTGACCTGGCTAACCCGGAGTGCATACTGATCTTTATTTCCCTTATTCTATATGCACTGTGTAAATTCATGTAGCCTAGGAATACACCAGAATATTGAACCTTTGGCTCAGTGATAATTTAATCAAAGTATGTGTTTCACTAAGCATATTTCACTCTTTTGAAATGTAAATATAGAACTGTTTTTTACAGGTTTTTGTTTGTTCATAGTTCATAGTGCCTAGCATAGAGTAGGCTCTTAGTAAATGAATTAATGACATTTCTCCCTTTTAAACTTTTTCATATTAGATCTGATTTACTGTTTCAATGTAAGATCATTTTGGATCTTGATCCTGTTATTCAATATACTGAGCTACCTTACTGTCATTGTATCATCTTTAAATGGAATATCTTCATTAAAATAGCAAAGGACAAGAACCCTGAAACACTAAAGACTTCTTTCTAGATAGAGATCAATTAATTATTTAAGGTTTTTTGTTTTTTGACCAGCCTTGAATATACCTAAATATACTATTTTTCTACTTATGATTTCACAGTTGTCTTCCAGGTTAAAATAAGAAGCCTTGTTAGGTAGTTGGTAATGAAGAGATAGGCAGAAGCTGCACTCTACAAAACCTTCAAGACCAGGGACCTAAAACAGCCTGAGCTTAAGAAGAGAGCTCTAATGTTTTCCCCTTTAACATCCCTGAGCAGGTGCTGGTGGATGTACCCTGTACTACAGACCGCCACTCCCTTCATGAGGATGAGAACAACATCTTTCAACGGTCCAGGAAGAAGGAGAGGCAGATATTGCCTCTACTGCAGGTGCAGCTCCTTGCGTGAGTAATAGGTTTGCAAAAACTCAGAACTTTGTGCCAGAGTGTTCTAGAAATCATCTGGGGGTTGGGGGGCTGGAAGTTCTGTCAAGACCATCAGCCATAGGGGGGTCTTTGGGCTAGGGATCTACCTGAAGGAGACATTGTGAGATGGTTTCTCCCTGGCATTTAAAAACCCTGTCTGATAGGATATATATATAGCAGGGCAGGTTGCATGAGTTCACTTGCCCTGTCTTACTCTATGCTACTCCCAGTACCAGTGAATAGCATATGTTTGGAAAATAACTACTGAGGCCAAGGCTCTATAGGACTGGAGTAAGAACTCGGTTCATAAGCAGCATTGGGAGTTGATCCATAATTTGAGTCAGAGCCCAGGAATCATTTCAAGAAAGCTCCTGGAGGAGAGCCTATGGAGTAATGTTGGGTTGTTTTCTGCCTTGAGGATGACTTTTCAGGGAGTGTCATTGTGGAAAGGGCTTCAGATGCTGTCTCATCTAGCGATCCACCCAATATAGACTCCCCTGTCTGCCCTTCCACTGCTGAGAAACTCACTAGTCACTGCATCTCTTTCTCTCTGGTTTCAGGGCTGGACTCCTTGCCACTAAACCAGGAGGCTACGTTGTCTATTCTTCCTGTTCACTCTCACATTTACAGAACGACTATGTGGTGCAAGGCACCATTGAGCTCCTGGCCAATCAATACAACATTGAGGTTCAGGTTGAAGACCTGAGTCACTTCCGAAAGCTCTTCATGGACACATTTTTTTTCTTCCCTTCCTGCCAGGTTGGGGAGCTGGTAATACCAAACCTTATGGCCAATTTTGGGCCTATGTACTTTTGCAAATTGCGTAGGCTGACGTAGCATCAGCCTGTCTCTAAGGCCCTGGTGTAGGAATAGTGAAACTGAAACCAGTGACAGAAATGTATTCTGGATCCTGACTCCATCCTTTTCAACAGGGGAAGTGAGAGTTTTTTGCCATGCTTTCTAGTTGTGGACTGTCAGCAGGTTTCTAACTCATTCATGCCCTATCTTTACTTGTCTCCACATCTGTGTTAAAGGTTTCTGCCCTATTGGGGACTTAGGAAGAGGAACCAATGAATTTGCCCACACATGAAACTGGAAATTTGGGAAGAAGCATTTAGTAAAACTGTTGAAGCTCCATAGAGTTGGTACTATAATTGGAGGTTTCGTGTCATTTCAAGTACTGTTGCTTCCATTTGTACCAGCAGCTGCTACTGAGCATTAACTCCTAGGATTAGTTGCCCGAAGGCAAGAACCTCATCTGGGTTACAGATCTCAGGCTAAACTTATTGTGTTCCACCTGATCAGTTAACAGCCTAGAGGCCCAAGTAAGCCTCCCTGGTTTCTCTGTATGGCCCATGATCTAATTTAAGGAACAGGTAACTAAAAAATGTTAAGCCAATGTATAATAGTCCGTTTACTTATTTACATTGAGAAAGCCCTCCTGAGTTGAGTAATCCCAGCAATTCTTCCTTCTGTCACCAGCATTGCTGCCCAAATGTGACTGGGAAATCTGCTTCTGCCACTTAACTGCCTACTGCTTTGTATGTTATTCATCTGGCAAGTATTCTTTGAGCTCCTGCTGTATAACAAGTACTTAGGATGCTACTGGAGATATACCAGTTAGATTGTGGGAGACAATCAGGCCTCCTCATTCTCTGGAATTACAGATCCCATCCTCCTGCTTGCTGAACACCTTGGAATCTCCTAATGTCTTTGGTTTGGTTTTGTTATGTATACACATTTATATTTTTTGGGTTCCTGGTCTGTGGCTGCACTCTAGTGCCAGTTCTTTGTCCACCCTCAAATACCTGAGAGCTTTTACCTCACCTCATACAGTATGTGTTCAGGGACATTACATCATTTACTGGCTGTATATTAGTTATATTGTTTTTGTAATTTTAGCCAAATAAGGGTAATTCTTTAGTGGCAGGGACATTAAAAAATATTATGGTCACTTGCAGGTGTTCCTTTTTTTATTTAAAAAAAAAATCTGTTTTTATTTTTAAAACTGGCATTTGTATATAATTTTAGAATACTTGAAGGTTCCCTGGCTCTCTCTTATCCCTTCTCTTCCTCTTTCTGCCACTCCTTTTGCCCTTTATACATTTCTTGTTTGGGTATTAGAGGTGTCAGTTGAGAAGTACTTTAGGTGAGGTTAAGTTTTCTCCTTTCTCGAGATTTGCATTTTAACTAAAGACTCTGGAAGACATTCCTGACTCAAGTCAAATGAAGCTAGGAAGATGAAGCCCCAAGGAGCTTGGTGGTCCTCTTGAGTACGAACTTAACCAGCTTGTGTACATGACATGTGGCTCCTGCCTCCAGTTTACTCTATGCTCAGTATTTGCTGAGGCTGGGAAGGCCTGAGGTGTCTGTACTTTTTTGTCTTTGATTTCCTGGCTGTGCAGTTTGTGCTAATAGAATTTTTAAAACCCACTAAGATTAGAAATCTTTACAGGAGCAGATACCTCATCTTTCTACCATGGAGCATCTAGTGGACTTGAACCACCGACCTTGAGGTTAGCAGCCCAACACCTAAACCATAGCACCACCAGGGATCCTTAAAAGAATGTTACATGCAAACCTCCTTCCAAGACTAAGACTCAACGGAAATGCACGCTCTTATTGGTGACCACACACATCACTGATGGGGGGAAGTGGGGTAAAAGCAGCAATGAAGCGGTAAGCTAAGCCCTACAATGTTCAGTGGACTTCTGTGGACCCAGCTGGGGACCTGGTTGGCAAGCAGTGTGAAGAGACCTGGGGACTCTTGGGCCCAGAGTCAGTGGCGTGGCCACGGAGGACTTGAGAGGAGAGTGGAGCTACCGGCTGACGGGAAGAGAGGACATATGCACAGGAGCGACCACACTTGCAGATGATACCCATGTGACCTGGACTGGATGACTGGATGATCGGAGCTCAACCAGGAGAGGAAAGAAGAGGGGAAAAAAAAAAGAGTGAGCTGATACAGTCTGATGAACTTGACCTATACCTATGGAGCAGCAACTCAAAAGAAGGAACAAATCCTCACAGCAAGAAACATTCACACACACACACACACACACACACACACACACAGAGTGGATGGAGAAGGACAGCTTGGACATTGGATACTCAAATGGGGAGGGGGGGACTACAAAGGCTTACAAGCTTTCAAAAGGGAACCTGGTGCTAGGGAGCATGGCGGAAGACAGAATCTCCAGTAGGTACTATTCAATCTGTCTGGGCGGAGCTGATGAAAGGAGATACAGGTGGGTAACTCATGATACTGTAGGGAATAATGCTTATCAGGATGGATTATGAGGGTTGGAAATGCAAAAGTAGAAGTTTTGTAACAAGGAAGGGAGTGATTAATTCTCCAGGATAGGAGCGGAGGCCTCTGGGACCATCAACGGAGAAGAGCCAAGAGCGGGACCCTACCCAGAGAAACAGATGCCAGAGATGGAGGCAGAGATGATGACGTGGAATGATGAAGCGACTGGGGACTTTGGACCCAGAGAGGGAAAGGGACTGTGGGCCGAAAACTTGGGGGAGGAGGGGGAAGTGTAGGGGGCGGGTTTCTGGGATATACCCTTTGGGTGGTTGATGATGCATGGAGGGGATTGGAACCATGGCAGTGAGATGATATACGATGGAATGAATGTAAAACTAAAGTTCTCACAAGTAAACTATCATATAATTTTCAATAAAACATTAATAAAAAAGAATGTTACAAAAAACCCAAACCCACTGCCATCAAGTAAATTCTAACTCATAATGATCCTCTAGACCCTATATTGGGTTTCTGAGGCTATAAATCTTTATGGGAGCAGACAGTCTCATCTTTCTTTCACAGAGGGGCTGTTAGGTTTGAACTACCAACCTTGCAATTGGCAGTCCAGTGCCTAACCCACAGCATCACCAGAGCTCCTTTATAGAATGTTAAGCAGTGGTGTAATCAAGAGGAGAGTATCGCCTGCCCTAGACTCAAAGTCTAACTGGGGATAGACAAACTCAGATAAGGAAAGCAGAGAACTACTTTAAAAAACAGTTTGATCATCTCCTACCCTACAACCTAGTCATTCTAACACTAGTAATAAATCCAAGAGAAACCTATACATGTATTCCAGGAGTCATGATGTACAAGAATGTTTGTAAGCAATCCTGTTTACAAAGCAAAGCCCAAGACTCAACCAAAAATGCAAGAAAGTGGATGAATAAGCTGGAATATTCCCACAATAAAATGAACTGTTCTTACATATAACAATATAGATGAATCGTAGCAATAAAGTATTAAGTGAAAAAAGTAAGTTCCAAAAGAGTAAATGTAGAGTGATATCTGTTATAGATTGAATTGTCCCTTAAAAATATGTGTTCTAAATCCTAACCCTTATACTTGGGAGTCCTGGTATAGTGCTGTAGGATAAGCACTGGACTGCTAACTCTAATATTGGTACAAACTCACCAGCTGCTTCTTGGAAACCCTATACAGCATTGCTGAGTCAGAATGACACTTAACAACAACAACATACCTGTGGTCATAATTTCATTTGATGATAGGGTATTCTTTGCTATGTTAATGAGATCATATCAGTGTAGTTATATGTTAGTTACCATTGTATTGATTCCAACCCATACCCACCCTATGTATAACAGAAGGAAACAACACTGAGTCCTATGTCATTCTGATACCTGCTGCTATGCTTGAGCCCTTTGCTGCTGCCATTGTGTCAGTCCTTGTTGGGGGCCTCCCTCTTTTTCGCTGACCCTCCACTTTATCAACCATGATGTCCTTTTCCAGGGTCTGGTTCCTCCTGACAATATGTCTGAAATATGAGCAACAAAGTCTGGCCATCCTGACTTCTAAGGGACATTCTGATTGCACTTTTCCCAACACCAATTTGTTTGTTGTTCTGGCAGTCCATGGTACCTTTAATATTTTTCCAATGCCATAACTCAAATGCATGAATTTTTCTACAGTCTTCCTTAGTCACTGCCCAACTTTCATGTACATATGGAGCTACTGAAAATACCATGGCTTGGATCAAGGCACATTTTGGTCCTCAAACTGACATCTTTGCTCTTTAACACTTAAAAAAATTTGTCTTGTGCAGCAGATTTGCCTAGTACAATATGTCGTTTGATTTCTTGACCAATGCTTCCATGAGTGGATCCAAGCAAAATGAAATCTTTGACAACTTCCATTTATATGGATGTTATTTATTGGTCCAGTGGTGAGGATTTTTGTTTTCTTTACACTGAAGTGCAACCCATACGGAAGGCTGTGGTCTTTGATCTTCATCAGTAAGTAGGGTATGTCTTAAACCAGTCAGCTTTTTTGGGGTTGTTGAGGTTTTTATTATAATTTGGGTGAAAGTTCACAGAGCACATTATTTTTCTGTTAAATCAATCACTTTTGAAATATAAAAAGAACAGATTAGGCAAACAAGAAAACATAGAGTGGGGGAAAGGGGAACATAGATCACATGACCAACACGTGAAAATCTCCAAGGAACCAATGAACAGAAGCTTACAAGAGACCGAGGACCTTCCTCCAGAGCTAACAGAGGAACTAGAACTGTTTTTCTGAATTCATACTTTAGGCTTCTTGTCGTTGGTAACTGCCGTTGTGTCAGTTCTGACTCATAGTGACCCTGTATGGGGTTTCCGAGGCTTTAAATCTTTGCAGGAGCAGAAAGCCTCATCTTTCTCCTTCAGAGCTGCTGGTGGGCTTGAACCATAGACCTTGTGGTTTGCAGCCCAGCGCTTATCGTGTGGAACCACCACGCTCCCTTTAGCCTTCTAACTGTGAGAACATAAATTTTTTAAAGCCATCCACTTGTAATATTTCTGTTACAGCAGCACTAAGAAACGACAACAGTGCCTTTTCTTAAAACAAAACAAAAAAAAAACTTTTAAAAATAAGTTGTTACTTTGTTGTTATTAA